AAATTAAGTAGTTATGCAAGAAACAATAAAGTAAACACAATCTGTTTTTCAAAAATATGAATCCATTCATCATGCTTTTTTTCCATGCAATTCATCTTTGAGAAAATGCGTGACCTCAGAATTTTTTTTGTGCCTTCAAGTCAGTGTTCTTTCTTCTATATACAGCCCAGAGTCACATTATCTTAAGTTGGGCAGCCACGTAAATGCTTTAAATAACACAAGATCGACTGGCTCAAAGTTTACTCAGCCTTCCCTCCTTTCGAGGTCAGTAAAAGGGACTGAGATTGGTGGGGGCCAATATGCTGACTCTGTAAACCGCTTAGAGAGGGCTTTAAAGAACTGTGAAGTGGTATATAAGTCTAAGTGCTAGTGCTAAATGAAGGAAGGAAGAATGTTTCACACACCTAGTGAAGAGGACAAAAATCCATAAAAACTGATTTCATAACAAATGGATTAGCTTTTAAGACACAACAAGATGTCAAATTAGTTTTGATTAGCATGAGGATGGGCTCTCTTCCTTTCTTTGCATGCAAGCTTTTTTTTTTAAATTTAGGACTATTAATTGTGTTAAATGAATTCTGACTTGTTTATAAGTCTATACTATTCTTATACAGTTCCAATAATTCTTATCCAGGATAGCTAATGGCTATATTGTGTCTGGAGGACAGCATATCTGGAGGGCACTAGACTAGGAAAAATCGGGCTGATCAGATCATATGCAAAGGAAAAGTGAAATAATGTTTTTCTTATAAATCAGAAAAATCTATATGTCAAGATCAGAGTTCTTCGCCTACCTCATTGCTACCTGAATACTACCAATGACTCAGTTGTAATTTACCTTTTGCCTTAGAGAAACTGGTAACAAAGAACTACGTAAAATTCATTCCAAAGAATGATATAATAAAACTGAGTAAATAATCTTTTTTCTGACTAGTCAAATAAGCTATGTTCTCCTTTAATTATCAGTGGATGGTCACCATTATAGTCTTCCTCTTGGATTTCTCCAAATCAACTCAAAACAATCATAAGAAAACTCTATATATAGTCTTTGCAATTTCCCCTTACATGTTTTTTTTTTAACTCATTCTTGCAACTGCCACATCAGGGTAGCCATTTTTTTTAAGATAGTGATATACAAAAGAGAAAAATAAGTAAAATAAGCAGAACCAAAGGTCATCTACTCAATATAGAGAAAAGCATTATGAAAAGACTTCCTATAAATTTTCCCCCTCCATCCAATCTGTTTTCCCAAGCAGTTTGGTATCTATACTTTACACTGAATGTCGAAATGTGTTGCTGGTTTCAATTTAGTGTCCAAGTTTCTAAATTTGCCTTACTATGTAGTATTTTGTATGTAAAGGAGCCATTCCTGCTTGAATATTTTCCAGTTTTAATCTTCCAAATATTGTTGGCAAGAATTTCCTTTACCAATGTTATGCCAAGACATTGTGTTGTGCCATTATTGTGCCAGGTTTATTTTTTGCAAATGTCAACATATATCTTATTAAAAGCCATTACTGTTTTTGTTTACAAAGGGCATGCTGGTATAGCCCAGCCAGTACATACAAACCCAACTTTTCCCAATGCTTTGCCTCATGATCCCAGTTCTTTCCTTTTTACTTCCAAAAGAATGTCATCCATAGGGGGTTTTCTTAGTTCACACTGTTTTTATTTTTTTTCCAACAAATGAAAAACCTCAGCCTACAGCACACCAGAAAATGTACACTGGCTTTACAAACTAAAGTTACCACCATAGTATATTCTTAATTCAAAAAAAGAGAGCTACAGTGTGTATGAAGCAAACATCAAAACCAAATGGAAGTGGTATCAGAAATTTGGAACCAGGGAGGCATGATCTGGTAGCACAACATTTTTGCTGTGGCCCATTTATCTCACAATACATGCAGATTATGTGATTCTGGAATGTCCCAGTGGGATAATCACAATGTGCTTTGAAATACAGTAAAGTGTATTATTAATGAAAGACATTATGCACCCCGCATTTTACTAACATTTTAATTACTTAGACTAAAAGTTCACCTACCTGGTTGATTCCATTCTCACCGGCTTCAACCTTTTTCTGCATCTGCATCATTTGCCACATGTCAGATACAGCTGTGCCAGATCCACTTTGGGTCTTCTCTATCAGTTCAGTCCCCGAAGGAAGCTTCTCCAGTCCAGCAATCTGCTTTTCAAACCCTACGAGGTCTTTCCCCATTCTTTTCACTTTATCCTGCACTCCCTGAGTTTGATCTTGCACTCCATGGACCTCATTTTGTATTCCCTCAATTTGATTTTGCACCCCACTGATTTGATTTTCTACTTCTTGGACATGACCTAATGCCCCTTGGACCTGGCCTTCTATCCCTTTAATCTGACCTTTCACGCCACGGAGATTCGTCTCCATCAGCTTTAGTTTCTTTTCCAAGTCAGCAAGCCGAGAATCCGGCTCTTCTCTCAAAATGCCTTCCTTGTCCTCCTTCTCTTTTGGTAATGCCTCTTGGCCCAATAAATCACTAGGTCCTGCCTCAGTTGCAGCAGAAAGCAAGTGCATCTCTGGCTTGGTTGGAGGACCTCTGTCCACCTTCACATCTGCTTTGATATCTTGAATGTTGAGGTAGCTGATGACAGCATGTAGGAGAGCATGGAGGGCATTGAAATTGATAACGCCAATCTCCGGAGTCCCTATGGAGAGATCCGCCAGTTCATACAATGTGACTTTGATAGACATTTTGGTAACAAATTCTGAGTGGGACAATTACTTGAAAATGTCTTTTAAAAAAATAAATATATAAAATCTGCTTTTAATGTACACTATATAAATCTGTGCTCATACACTGACTCTTAGAAAATATAACCTTCTGGTTAGGAAAGTTCTTCTATCACTAAAGGATCTTTCTTCTTCACAAGAAAGATTCTTTTCCGCGGCAAAAAGAATTACATCCTAAAAAAAAAAGCAATCTAGGACTAATATTACTATGCTTTTTCTCTAATATTCTTAAGAATATTCTGTTCTCTCACTAATGGGATCCGATTTATGGAAGCTTTCCATGCACCCGTTACTTCTTAAAGCCGGCATAAAGCAGGGCGTCTCTCGCCCTCCTTGCGACCGGAATCTTCTCCGCCTCACAATCCAGCCCTGTGCCCGTTCTCACATTCCATTGGTGGCGTAATAAACCTCCCAACTCGGGGATTCGCCGCCGTAGCTGCCCATGTGCTTTTTTGTTTACTCCATCGCCTGCTGATTGATGCAGTCCGGGGCGTTCGCGGTTGCTAGGCAACTCGGGAAGGTTACCCGTTACGTTTCACGAAGGGCGCCGCCGCGAGACCCAGAGCCTTTCGGGCAAAGGCGCGAAGAAGGTCCGACGGGGAATTTGAAAACGTTAAAAGCGAGCGGGGTAGCTTCTTCACGTTCAGTTTTCCCTGTCACGGCAGCAGTCGTTTCTGAGAAAAAGATTCAGCTGAGATTAAATGTGAACGCGGTCGCTCACAGTTACGTTCAACTATAAAGAATACGATATATCTAACATATGGTCAAAGAACCTTATTTTCCCCGCCAGAACGATGTTAAAATGCTGTAAACAAGTGGATGAAATCTCCCGAGTTACAAGTTCAAGGCCTTCTAAATCAGGGGTCCCCTCAACCTCCGGGCCGCGCAAAGTGGTGAAGCAAGCGCGCGCGCGCAACTCCATTTGCGCGAGCGGCGGGCACTCGTGCGTGTGTGCACGAAGCTCCGTTTTTGTGAACGGCGGGCGCAAATGGAGCTTCACACGTGCGAGAGTCCCCGCCGCCTGTGTAAATGCTGCGCGTGTGAGCGCGCGCACCTGCCGGTTGCCTAAAACCATTACCTCTCCCCCCTCCTCCCTCTCCCCAGCGGTCTGCAAAGCTGGAAAGGTTGAGGACCACTGCTGTAGAGTGATCCTAAGGCTAAGTCAGTCAAAGATATTTTATAGCCGTGTTTCTCAACCTTGACCATTTTAAGGCATGTGGACTTCAACTCCCAGAATTCCACAGCCAGCATTGCTGGCTGTGGAATTCTGGGAGTTGAAGTCCACATGCCTTAAAATGGTCAAGGTTGAGAAACACTGTTTTATAGCCTCATCCCGCCAACTGCAGAAAGAATATCCCCAGTAATTATTTGGTATGATGTTGCCTTTGTCTGATCCTCAGCCCTTAGCTGAGGCAGTTTATAGTTACCTTTAACTTCTCTTCTTTCCTCCTGACATGATATGGAAAGCTTCATCAATGATGTGGTTGCTGGTACAGTTGGGAGTGACATCTGCCCAGCACCAACTGGTCATTTTAAGCTGCTGTGGGCATACTCCACCTTTCTAGCTGCTGGGACCATAGGCCTGCTTTCCATAGAGGCATCTGTCTGCATATTGTAGGACTTTGCTAGCCCCTGCCTCAGACAGGGTTCTTCAGGAAAGAGGCCTGGGTTATGGCACTTCTTTATTGCTATTTAGTCATCCCTGGGTGCATTGAAGTTGTCCCACTGGTTCTGCTACCAAGGGACTTCCCATGTCCATTTTTTTAAATAAAAAAACTGCTTTTATTATTTAAGAGAAGAGGCATCATTTTGCTACTCTCTTCTGGCTCCCTGGCGATAGGCTATTTCCGAATATTACTGGAGAACAGAACTGAACCTATGGCCAGCACTGATATTCCCATCTGACAAAATCAAGAGTGGAGTTTGTTTATTATGGATCACTCCTTCCTGCTTCACTCTGCCCCTCTACTCTGTTTGAGACATTATCTGATTCCATGAAATTCTATGCTTAAAACATATAAACACCAGGATTCCCAGTCCTATAGATGGCAGCACACCATATCAAATGGAGCACAGAGCCAGACTCAAGTATTGTACTTTTAACTGCCAAAATAAACTCTGAAATCTCTTGTTCACATACTTTAGCCTTGCCTTGGTAAAGTTGTAAACAGCATCAGTCTATGGAAGGGAAGAGGGCACAACAACCCAAGACCCAGGGCTCCACTGACTTCTTAAAGACCTGGATACAACCTGCAAAAGGATTTCTAAGAGGTACCCCAGCTGAGGGTAAAAATTAATTCTTAAATACATGAGGAACAACCAATAACTTTTGACCTTATCATTCTTATTAGAATAAGCAATTTATAAGCCTCTTTTAGTCTTTCCCAGCTCCAATATTCCCTGGGATATACAAAAGTTGTACCAAAGGATGTATCTGGGGTAGATTCTGTAGCCCCTTCTCTGGTTGATTGGAAGTTCCAAATTATTATCAGTGTTATCCATGACAATTTAAAGGGGTTAAAGCTATACAGCTGATAGATTGCCTCCCATTAAAAACCTGATGTAAGATCTGGAGAAGGCCTTTCAGACAACAATCCCTATTGGTCACAAAATCTTGCTATCAGGCACATGGGAAAAGATTTTCTCCTGCATCACTCATGGAAATTGCTTTAAGTTCCGTTCCATTCCATATTCTTAGTAAACCTGTAAAAAATACATCTTTTTGCCAGGCCTTTACTGGTCTTTTTAATATTCATGTTTTAACTGTTTTTAGCTTTTTTACTTTGAATTTCCCAGTCACTGTTTTTAAACTGCAAGTTGTCCTCAGTGTTCTTTTGGTAAGGTGGCAGATAAACCAATTAACCAATTTGACCATTTAAAGAGGGGGATCTCATTTAATATTACGTTCAACATTATGTAAGTTCAGATACTGGAAAGGGTAGAATATTCAAGACAAGACATTTGCCTAACCATTTGAATTGAGACTCTAAGGTAGGTCATGAAAGTATGTGGGCTAAAAGGATTTGGTTCCTCCTCTCAATGTACACAAGTGTTTGACTCAAAAAAATCATAAAAATACAACATGGTGCTGTGCTGCCCTACTCGTATGTTCTTTCATTCCAAAACTGAAAAGTCAAAGTGCTTATGTATATATTTATTAGAAGATAATTAAAAGGTTTGAGGGTCCTAGTAGCAATCATGTAAAATTGAGAACAAGCTGCAATAATTAAGCTTAATTATTAATAATTAGTTTCATAAAAATTTCTATCAGATCCCTAATAACTGAACATGTGGACACAGCGGTAGCTTTTTATACTACCCACGGCATCATCAGCAGGCTTCAAAAATATGAAATCACTTCTCAGTGGTTAAGCATTTCAAAATACAATATCTCCCCTTCATTTATGAAACTACTTTTAGAACGATAATGATGCACCAAAGAAGTCAAAGGAATAGTTCTTCAAACTTCAGATTTAAGTGGAGAAGTGGCACTAAAGAAAAAGGTGTAAAAGCTAGCATTACATGAAATAGGTTAGTTCAATTGCATCTACTTCTGTAAAGACAGTGGGCGCTGTACTAGATAGAAAATGATTTCAGCTTTCATTTTAGAGCACTTCTATATGATCTATTTTTAAATTTTGCTTTGAATTGAATACATGCAGCCCACAATGGGCATTTTCACATTGTGTTAGATCTAAATTGTACTTTAGCATGCACTTGTTAGCTATGAATCCCTTACATGTACATCTCCATGTTTTCCTTCAATTTAGCACTTGCATTACTGAAGCACTGGGTTTTCTAAACTCAGTATCTTACACTTGGGAAAATGAAGCATAATACTCAAGAGTATTACTCTTTTTGTTGTTTTGGAAAGTTCCAACTACAGTTACTTTAATGGTAATTAAAATATAGTGGTCCATCTTCTCTTCAAAATGATTAAGAAGCTCAATGGTTTTGCTCCCTAGTATTTCACATTGTGTTGTCCATAACCAATTCTCCCATGAGTCAGAGTATTTCAGAAAGCAAATTCACAACTTATTTCACCTTGTCCCACATCCTCAGCTTAATGGAGTTTAAGCAGCTACTAATTTAATTAAGCTCCTCCTCCCTTTATACTGATATGAAGTGCAGAACAAAAACAAGACAAGTATGAAGGAGAGGAAATATTTGTACTACTAAAGATCTTGTAGTGAATTTGAGTAAAGATATTTTAAATATCTGATTAAAAAGCCAAGGAGCACTTGCCTTATAAAACTGTCATTATCAGACCACTAGCTAGATTACAATCCAAACCTTATCTCAAGCCTTGCCATTGCAGCTCTGGTATCCATTTAAAATAGGATCTTGCACTCAAGTTTTGAGGATAATAAAATGTTAGGAAGGATATACCAGGAAAGATAAAATCATAATCAGATTTGGTTGCTGTAAAGAGATTGAGGTCTCCAATACTATGGGAGAATTATAACATCTAAAAGCAAGCTTCTTAAAAAAGCCATGAACTAACAAAAGAATTAGTTCAAAAAATAGCTTAATAAGAGACAGAATCTTCCCATGAATTCAGGGTGGTATAACAGGAGAGACATTCCTTATTCATCTTTATTTAAGACCACCAATAAAATAAATCCCACCAGTTTAAAAAGCAAATAGACTTCTGTGCTTAATAAGGATATATTTATACTATCTCGCAAAAGATAAATGCCATGCCTGACTTGTTTATGTTACACTTTAATCCTAATCAGTCATCCCTCTTGTTCTAGATCCCACAAGACCTGAACTTCATGACCCTGACAATTTGCTTCAAGCAGATCAAAATCCCAAATATCGTTTTAATGCTGCAGTATTTGCATATATCTTCACTTTTACTCGACTATATATGGATGGCTTTGATTGTTATAAAACTGGTAATGAATATGCAGCATAAATCTCCATGTGCTTGAGTTTAGAAATCACATTTTTGGACTTCACCTACAGTTCAGCCAATGCGGCTTACCCTTAAAAAGTAGACTTAAAATCAGAAGTGTTTGAACTTTGAACCTAAGACCAATCCATGAAAATCATAACAATGGATTAAACATGGCTTTTCTAAATCAGTCAGTATTTATATGAGACTATCTCAAAATATTGCTTTTTCACTTCAGAATACTCTGATTTGTCAACCAGACTGAAATAAGAACAAGATGTCCCCAGGTCCAGATTTACATATCTTTGCATTCAAGAGAGATATGTAAAAAAATAGCTAAGTTGTAAGCTGGTATATATAAACAAAGAGATTGGTTTGCTGAGCAGCCAAGACCTTTCCTGGACTTCAGAGTCTTCTTTGTCTTTGAATATGAATTGAAAGATATTTAAATATACTTTTGTGGGGAGGGATGTAAGAGAAATTAAGGATAGTTCCCGTTTCTCAATAGTGAGGAAAGAATGCAATGTAATCTTGCCTATATTTTTGATAAGTCATACAGTGAGACCGCCTGAGAGAACATGAGTTGTTTTTGGTTAATCTGTCCGGAAAATCATGTCAGATCTCTTCAGGCAATCACTGATGTGAATGAGAATCACCATCCCAAAGTTAAGGCACTTAATTAGTTGTGCCAGCATATATTGCTTGTGAAGCTGGGGTAATATTTCTGTTCTTTTAGCATTCTATTATGAACTGTTGACCATTGCTATGGCTGTGCTTTTGATATAATTAGTGAATTAGATGCTCTTAAGATTCATATTTACCCATGTTTGGGGACTAGGTTGGCTACAGTAAAGAAGAATCTTTTTCTTTTTCTACTTTTAAAGCAGGAATATGAGAACAATAGACAATACAGCAATGAACAGTAGTTCCGTGATCATGAAGACTTGGACAAAAATATATAAGATGCTATAATACCATTAAGTGATTAACACTTTTAAGAAATTACAATAATGGGATAATTAATAACAATATTAATGAGATAACAGTTGATTTATACCCTGCCTGGTATTAAATACTTCTAAAAATTCTGTGAAAACATAACTTGACTTCAATATGGTCAATATGATTGAGAAATGTTTTATCTAAGAGGTTGAAGTATGAAGAGCTGTTGGAGCAAATTAAGCTATGAGAAAAAATGATGGTTGTATGTATACTTTTTAGATTTTTGATGTAATAACAATATTAATGAGAAAAGATGCAAAAATGCATCAAGAATTTCTTGAAGGCAAGTCTTCCCACTATTTAATCATTACATACGGGATCCAGGTCCCTATTTTCGGCATTTTTTGTAGGGATCTTTCAAAGAACACTGGTCAAAAGGAAAATTTGCTAAACAGAAAAGACAGATAATAGCAAATTAAAAAAGAAAAAGAACTGTTTAAGTTGAAGAGGCCAAAATGAATCAGAATGGCTAGAAGAGCAGAAAGATAAGGAATAATAGGAAAACACGTGTGTTTTTGCTCCATATGCAAAATAACGGGGGGGGGGGGGGAACAGTTCCAATACAATGTCTCCAATTTAAGTGAGAAAAGGTACAGGATATTGGAGCAGATAAAGAAACCAATAAATCCCAAAAGAAGCAAAATGAACCAATCCAAAAAAACTATATGGTAGATTAAGGAAATTGAGTAAAATTTGGTCTGGTTTAGGCTTATCTGCACTATGGGTAGCATTTTTCTCAATCCCGCCTCTTACACCCACATTCTACTGCAACAGCAGGTTTGGGTTGTTGGCTTATGCAGTTAAGTATGATTTAGACTTTTTCAAACAAAATAGAAGCTGAAATAAAATAGCATTAAGAATGGACGGCTTCATGAAGAAAAAAAAGGAAGCTCTTATATTTTAGAAAATTCAAGATGTATTCTGTGGAAAAGGGAAAACATAATGCTCTTTTCCTACTGTATGCAATTCAGTCTTAATTCAAACAACTTGCAATAGATATGACATTAAGATCTAGTTTTCTATACTGAAGCTCTGAAGCTATGCAGGAATTAATCAAGCAAATTCCAACAGAGAAGAGACCTCTGGAGTGGACGAAATTCAAGTAATGAAATTTTGATATCATAGGAACACATACCAGAGCAAAAAAGGAAACTTTTTTTTTCCTTTGGAAGGAAAGATACTTTCACTTCCAAGCCAGAAGCTAATGTCTAATAAAATGCTCAAGAATCGCTGCACTGGAAAACAGGCTCAATCATCCCAGCAAAGACCTTAGTGTTAAAGTACTGTGGAGTGTGATTGCTAACTTAGTACTCTAAAAATCAGAGTTCATTTCACTAGGTGAAATGGCACAAGATAGGCTTGCACTGAGTTCTTCATATTTTCTAACTAAAATATCCCATCTTGTGTTATATACCCAAACACAGAATACAAATCCCATTGAACTATACCTTTTAGAACACACTGTAGTAACCATTACGTATAGAATTGCTATGCTTCTCTTTCAAGCAGCTAGTCAGGATTACAACATATTCTCTGTAACGAAGAAGAGGTAGCACATACAACTTTTTACCTCAACTTTGGAACCAGATAGCATCATACTATGTTATTGTTGATAGAAATGAATCATTTGAAATCGTTTCACAAAAGAAAACCTTGCTGCTACCATGATGTTAAAAATGGCTCCAAAGATGGCAATAAAAATATACTTTCTTGTGATTTGAGGATATGCATGTAGAGAAAATCTCAGTGCGCCTTTAAGCTCATCCCCCAATTGCCTCTCATGATATACAAGATATAACAAGAGCAAAAAGCCACAACTAGTATCATACAAATAGTTTAACAATATACTCCAATTCCTATCTGTACCCTGATCCAGTCTCCATGCGGGATTAGTGAACCTCAGCTCAAAATACTCAACCCTGTTATACTTAAAAAAATACACTATCAACTTTATGGCACTCTTGCTCATATACATATTATTTTCCCTTCTCTTTGAGGAAACTCATGGCAGAATGAGAAAAAAATAAATTTAATCATCCATAGTAATATTGCGGAAGAGGTAAGCCATAGACTCCCCATTGTGGATTCGGCGGATAGCTTCAGACAGGATCAGGCTGATATCCACAGTCTTTATCTTGGGACACTGCAGTTTTTGTACTTCATGAGGAACTGTATTGGTGACCACAACCTATCCAAGTATAGTAAAAGAGAATCAGAAAACATGGTTTAAATATCTATTTAGAACCAATCCATGAAAAATATTATCTAAGAAAATAATCAAGCTAGGAGCTCTTTGGAATTATCATTGGGAAACAGATTGTTTATATGTAAGATTTCATCATGTAAGAAGGAATTATAACTAACAGAATTACTGTAAGACATAGAAAATTAAAAATGAATTTGTTTTGGATAGAATAAGAGAAAGCAAATCTATTAATTGGATCAACAATGGTGTTGTCACTGGTGCAAACAGAAGTAAAGGGTAAAATACACAGTTTACAACTCAAGAATTTGATATGACATCCTCCTCATAGACATGATAGTCCTGATACAGATTGGGCAACCACGCACTGAAACAAGTGCAAAATAGATCTGGATGGATTTAGTGCATGTTTATTTATGATGTGGCTTATGAAATGACTTTAAAAAAAAACCTTCTTCAGTATGTATTTCCTTGAAAAGGGAACAAATTTGTCTGACCCAAGAGTGGTAATTATAGGCCCCTCTGCTTGACTGGTGGCACCTTAGTATAGCGGCATGGCATTATTTTTGCAGGGCTAACATTCTCTGTCAACTCTATAATTGTCTACAACATCTGACATGTAGCTTTATGTCTATATAATCTTAAAGCTGGTAGGCACAATGCATCACTATACACCCTCTGTACTGCTCTGTTGTATTTCCTACTTGAAGAAATGCATCTGACTGCTGCCACTGGCAACCACTTCTTCTTCTTCCCTCCACCATTAATTCAGAAAAACAACTGGGAGGCACAACTTTTCTTTAGGTGAGGAAAATTATACGCAGATCAGAAAGGACAGATTATTTGGACAGGAAGGCACCAAAACAGAGCCCTTTGTTTCCGTAGTCTGCAAATATTCAGCACTGAATTATGGCTATATGGAGAACAAACTGTGCTGAAAAGGAGAAAAGCAGGGACCTTAAGACACAAAGAAGACATATCTTTCAAAAGAAAAAAACAAGCCTTAGGAGGTCTCCTGTCTGAACATTTTGTTTTCAACTATTACTTTTTCTGAAATGACAGACTAATGACATTTAGTTTTCAATTTCAACTTATCCCTTTAACTTAAGAAAGCCTGATCTCTGCCACTGGTTAGAAAGGGCAGAATGAGGTGCATGCAAGTGGAAACTAAACTGTTAGAATTGCTCTTTGGGCTCTGTATACACACAGTAGAGTATCCTCTACACATTTGTATCTGCTAACTGCTAATAACTATTTCAAAACCAGAACTCTTTAGACAAGAGGCTCAAAATAAAGCTGAAAATAACACTTTCGCTAAAACTGCCAGCAAAGTAAAGTAGCTAGGCATATACCTACAGGCAGAGACAATTGGGAACATTTAACTAAACTGAAGTAGCTGCATGAAAAGGTTTTACCTCTTTCAAATGCTTTGCATGGACTTACTTGTGTATTATATATACATACATTCATGGACATACTCAACTAGATTTTTCCCCCCAAAATATGTTCTTTGATTTTAGGGAGGTTTTCTTGTTCTAGTTTTGTTTTTTGTTCTTTGTTTTGGGAAAAAAAAGACATTCAAGTTATTAATCCAATGCCTACAGAAACTTGCCTCATCAATTGAGGACTCTTCAATTAGACGTGGGGCATCAGCAGACAAGAGACCATGAGTGGCCATGATAAAGATCTTGTAAGCGCCACGCTCTTTCAGGATTTCAGCAGCTGCTACAAAGCTTTCAACATCATCAATTATGTCATCCTAAGAAGAAAATCACAATACAGTTAAATTCTGGAAAAAGGATAAAAGGAGCTATGCTCTTGTCTCAAATGCTTTATTAGCACTAATGTAAATTCAAATATATCTGAAGAATTGAAAGTATCTATCCATTTTTCATCCACAAATATTTTAACAAGTTTTTTCTATCAGCACAATATAGGATCGCATCTTAAAATGTAATAACTTCTCACCAAAAATATCTGAAAGTCTGTTTTTTTAAAAAAAGTTAATCTTCAAAAAATTAAATTTAATTTTGACTGCATTGTTAGTTATCTCTTTCTCTCAAGGTTAGATTTACAAAATAGCTGCCCAGGCTTAGAGATACACTATGTTCTATCTAGACGACCTGGATTCTCTGTAATATCTTCAGAAAAGGTCACCATGTTTCGTTGTGCCTTCATATTGTGAGAAACTTTTACACAGGTTCTATCAACTGACATACCTACTGTCAGAACATCAGATTTAGCTACACTAGATTTAGTACCACTGAACACTAGATTTAGTACCACTGAATTTAGTAACATAATGAAACAACATACCAAATTCCTATTATAATTAAAGAAGAGATTAAAAGCTATCCTCCTGAAACTTGCTACAGTAATATAGAGCAGGGCTTTTCAACCTTTTCACCCATTGTACCACTTTTAGGATATGGCAATATCCGAGTACCACCAGTCACCTAGCAAGATGTCAAAAACCTGATGACCAAAAAAAAAAAAAAAAAAAAGGAAAAAGGTGATAAAGTACAGGTAGTCCTCGACTTACAACAGTTCGCTTAGTGACTGTTCAAAGTTACAATGGCACTGAAAAAAGTGCCCCCCAGGGCACAGCTGAGCAAGACACCTGCCTGCCCACCCGGCGGCGCTCTTCTTCCTGTCCAAGGTTTTCATTGTTGTGAGCATTTCTGTTGAGGATTGGCAGCGGGGTGCCAATGGGGGGGGGGGGTGTTTGGTTTTTATTCCCCCATCTGCTGGGTGGTTGCAGCAGCTTTTGGTCACTTCACATGACCCTGGGACAGTGACTGTCATAAATATGAATCAGTTTATTTATTTATTTATTTATTTATTATTTATATTTATATCCCGCCCTTCTCCTTGCCAAGCATCTGAATGTAAATCACAAGACCCTGGAGATGCTGCAACATTCCAGCTGATCGGCGCTTCTTCTGGCCTCAGAAGCGCCAGGATCAGCGCCGAGCTCCAGCTGGAGCCTGGTGCTGATCCTGGCGCTTCCGATGAGCCCTGACAGCCCTGCAGCTCCAGCCATCTCTCGCTCAGGCTTGTGCGGTGCTGCCACCGGTTCAGCTCATTCCCCTCCCCCACTATCACTTTTCTAGGATGGTCACGTAACACCTGCCAGGTGCCAATGTACCACAGGTGGTACCCGTACCACTGGTTGAAAAGCCCTGATATAGAGTATTATGTAACCTTAGTAAGACTTAAGGTCAAACCTTTCAGTCATTCCCTCAGAATAGTCCCAAATGTGCTTTTTTAGAAAGCAACTGGACTTTGTTTTTCTTTGAAGACGTTTTGCTTCTCATCCAAGAAGACACTTCTTCAACTCTGACTGGATGGTGGGGAATGGAAGGATTTATATTCCTTGCAGACAGCTGGTCATTTGCATTCTTTACAGAAAATGGTTTCTGTAATCTGCACTGTTTTCTGGAAATCTGTTCATATTCCTGCACCATTCAAAGAGTGTTCATCCCAACATGCATAGCTAAATGTCTATGGAGATTCTCAGTCATCCAGCTCATGATTGTCCCAAAGGTGCTTTTTCATGAGGCAACTGGACAGGAACCATCTGCACTTCAGTTTGAAATGCAGACAACTCAGATTCATCCCCAACAGCCTGCACCTGTCTTCAACAGGGAAAGGACCCAGGGCAGAAAACATCCTGCAGTCAAGAAGGCTCCATAAATATTTGCACTACTCAGGTGACCCTGAGGACACAGATAAACCTAGAAATGGCCCCAACGACTCTCTAAAAAAATGCAAATGACCAGCTGTCAGCAAGGAATATAAATTCTTCCATTCTCCACCATCCAATCAGAGCTGAAGAAGCGTCTTGGATGAGAAGTGAAACATCTTCAAAGAAAAACAAGAAACTCCAGTTGCCTCCTCAAAAAGCATCTTTGGGACAACCATGACCTGGATGACTGAGAATCTCCATAGACATTTAGCTATCCCTCAGAATAGGAAGATTGTATACTGATAACCCTTTAGAACTGTGTTTTGTTTGCACATTTATCAAAACATATAGATTTCAGAAACCAATACTATGTCCTATTACAAACAGGATAGTGTGGATGATGTAGAACATTTGTATTTAATTAAGCACAGCAAAAGTGGAAAAGGGTATTGCATGACTGCTTAAAAGTGTCAGCATAATCAATATTGGCTTTGAGCCCAGAACTAAAATCCCAGCTATATTCAGATATAAATAATTAAGCTGAGTTTAACTGAAGATGTTCCCATTCATTCTCTGGCCTTTTCATTCCTTACCACAATTATGGCAATTCTACCTCCAACATCTCCAACTACTGTTATGGGTGGTTTCTCTTTGGCCATCATGACTATAGGAAGAAAAACAAAACAAAACCATAGATTTATTGTACAGTATGTATATATGTTCATACTTGCTTTGTAAATTAATGCATTGCATAGTGTTTTGCAGTAGTATTCATTCTGCATCACTAAAGAGATATCTTTAATTATTTCCTTATTGATTACAATTAGATTTAATTGGATTGTAACCAATTCAGAACCAATTATATGTAAATTAATGTAACTGCACACATATGTAGATAATATATTACAAGCTCCCAACATGAGATAAATACCTTTCCATTTTAAACTCCAAATGCCCTGAGCATTAGTTCACCAGCCTAACATTTTAAAAAATTAAAACCAAAAGCTGAAATAAAACAGTTGGAATCAGCCACACAGACTTGTGATCACTGCTAAATGTTAAAAATGTTTAAAAAATCAGACAAAATAATCCAGGCATATAGTAAAATAGCTGATATTGTACCACCCCAAATGTGATTATTTTATTATTATTATTATTATTATTATTATTATTATTATTATTATTATTATTGTTGTTGTTGTTGTTGTTGTTGTTGTTGTTAATCATTGCACACTCAGCCAGATGTTCAGACTGGATTTGGCATTTTTGTCTACCTATCAAGTCCTTACCAAGAACCTGGGATAGGTAGATGTGGATACTTGATGGTATTACAGATATCGTCGCAGGATGGAAGCAGTTCCTAGTAAGGCCTTTTGCAATTGACTAATGGCGAATTTGTCAATGCCAATGGTGTTCAAGTGGTGCTCCACTTGTTTGGGGATTGCACCCAAGGCACCTATTACTACTGGTACTACCCTTGCTTGCCTTTGCCACAGTCTTTCTATTTCTATTTGTAGGTCTTTGTATTTTGTTATCTTCTCCAGTTCTTTCTCGTCTATTCTGGTGTCTCCAGGCACTGCCACGTTCACTATCCAGACTTTTTTGTCTTTCTTATCGACAATTAAGTCCGGGGTGTTATGTTGCAGGTGCTTGTCTGTTTGAATTCTGAAGTCCCAGAGCAGTTTAATTTTATCATTTTCTATGACTTGCTCCATTTTATGATCCCACCAGTTCTTGCTTACAGGCAAATTATATTTCTTGCAGATCTTCCAAAGCACCATTGTTGCTACTTTGTCATGCTGCTGCTCGTAGTCAGTCTGTGCGGTCTTCTTGCAGCAGCTTGCCAGGTGGTCCACTGTTTCTTCAGCTTCTCTACATAGGCGGCACTTACTATCTGTTGCTGTCTTCTCAATGTTGACTTTGTATGCATTTGTCCTTAAGGCTTGGTCTTGTGCAGCCAGAATTAGTTCCTTGGTCTCTTTCTTCAATTTTCCTGATCTTAGCCATTGCCAGGTCTTGTTATCTGCTTTCCCAGCTATTTTGTTTTAATGTAGTGGCCATGTAGTGCTTTGCCTTCCCATGCCTTTATTCTGTTCTTCATTTGGTCTTTCTTGTAGGCCAGTTTGGTCTCTCCAGTAGTCAGTAAGCCTTCCTGATATACTAATTTCAGTGCATCTTCATCATTGTCCTTCAGATATTCTTCCAAAACTATTTTTTCTTCTTCAACCATCTGATGTACTTGCAGCTTTCCACGCCCACCTATTTGCCTTGGTAGATAACAGTCTGTCAATGTCACTGCGTGGATGAAGGGCATGATTCATTGTCATTATTTTTCTGGTCTTTCTATCCATTAATTTTAGTTCTGCTTGAGTCCAATCCACTATTCCAGCTGTGTATCTAATGACTGGAATTGCCCAGGTGTTGATTTCCTTCATGGTATTTCCTCCATTGAGTTTGGACTTTAAGATCTTCTTTACTCTCTTGATGTATTCACCTCTAATCTTTTTCTTGACTTCAGTGTGCTTGATGTTGTCAGCTTGAAAGATACCCAAGTATTTGTAGTAATCTTCCTCATCAGACTCTTAATGTTATTTTCGTGGGGCATCTTGATTCCTTCATTTTCACTATTTTTCCTTGTTTGATAGTAAGTGTGGCACATTTGTCCAAGTCAAATTCCATTGCAATATCTTGGCTATATATACGGACAGTGTTGAGCAGCGATTCTATTTCAGATGATGTTTTTCCATACAGCTTCAGATCATCCATGTAAAGGAGGTGGGATAGCCTGGCAGATGTTTTTGATGTTTGATAGCCATGTCCTGAATTATTCAGTATTGTTGACAGAGGAAACAGTGCAATAACAAATAGTAGTGGTGATAATGAATCTCCTTGAAATATTCCTCTCTTGATATTAACCTCTCCCAGTCTCTCACCATTGACCTGCAACTGTGTCTTCCATTGTGCCATCAATCTTTGCATAAATTTTCTGAAGTTTCTACTGACTCCTGTTATTTCTAGGCATTTGATTATCCAGTTATGTGGCAGAGAGTCAAATGCCTTTTTGTAGTCAATCCATGCCACATTCAGGTTGGTCTTCTTTTTCTTGCCGGTATGGCTTTCTGAAATTTACGTCTCACCATAATTTTTATGGGAGAGACACTCTTTGTCTGACTCCTCTGATGAGACCTGTCCAGTATGGTTGAACCTCTGGCATAGCTCTCATCTTCCTCAGAGTACACAAGCCCCACAACCACATCAAGGTAGTGCCTCACTGGGGGATGATGACGATTGTTATTATTATTATTCAGTTCAATTAGGCTATTTTTAGTAGTTGCCAAAATAATAAGAGGGAGATAGGAAGATGCTCTCATTTGAGGGATCAGGTTATTCCACAGGAAGGAAATCCTAATACAGATATAATGTAGTATTTTCCCATACCATTAAGTATAAAACAAAAGGTATGAATGGCCCCAGATTCAGAAGGGTCCACAAATTAGAGAATTCTATGTTTCAGAACTGTATGCAGTTTTAACTTTGAATCCTATGTTCTTTGGCCTACTCTTTTCTGAAGCAAAAAATGTTTGGGGCTATATTAGAGTGGAATCAATGCTCACTGATTTTATAAAGGATTCCACTGTAGACATTTTTTATGCATAAACCAAAAAGAAGCAATAAATGTTATTAGAACCCTACTTCTCAATATGCTATTTCTATACTATTTCTATATTTCTATGTCTAATCATATAAGCCCCCATTTTCAACATGCAGAGTAAATATAGTGAAAAAACAAATAAACTCTATATTTGACAACTTGACATATATAACAAATATAACAGATATCAGATTGATGCATAATTCAACTTTGGACCTTGACAAGCTACTATGTACAAATATAGAAAAATGTAACAACATACAGGGTAGCTCCAGTCCAGTGCACACCGTAGTATTTTTTACTGTTGGAGGAGAGTGCCGTCCATCATCCATGTCTTGCTCTGTACACTGAGCCTCTCCATGGATAACTGCCAAGCCTAGCCGCAATCGCTCAGCGTAAGACTGGGCCCTGCATAAGTAAAAACCAAGTATCACTTCAAGGCAAGACTTTCTCTTTGAGAAGCTCTAAACATAAATTCACTTATTCGTTCTTCAAACAAGATGAAGCCTCAGAAAGGAGTCGTGCATGCTTTTTCATCAATTATTGATGAAAATCAAAATCATGCTTTTAGCAAAATAGTACTTTGCTTTTTTGGCCCTTCAATTTTTTCCATTAAGCGTATTTTTTCCTATTAAGTAGACATTATTTGAAAAATACTTTCTGAGCACAATGCCACAATCACCCCCAAAGCTCTTTCAAGCATTCATGGATGCACAAAAGAGATCTGTATTTTAATTTGTGAAGAATGTCTTATTTGACTTCCAAGGAACTTTTATTAGCCATTACTTAGCCTACTGACCTATGCATAAAAGATTATCTAAGCTTTTAATTTGGTGAGCTTAATTAAAAAACTCAACCCGAAAGAGGTTCAGTGCATATATTCATTTAATTCCACTTAGCAGGGATCCATTTTGAGGGGCATTAATTGGAGAAAGATACCCTAAAAGTTGGAAGCCACCAATAGTGACAACCATCTTCTATGGTTGTGCATATATCCAATCTAAAGGGAAAAATATAATTTGACAATGTGAGTGCATACATGGTGATTCTCAGGAATATTCGCATCTTTTCCAGAGATTGTACAATGTGTTCTGAATTACATTTTGCTCTTCAAATTTTAATCTCTGTAGGGCCCTACGGGTGGAATTTTGCAGATAAGAATTTTTGTAATACAGGTAAACTGCTTAACCACAGTCACTTAAGTACCTCAAAAGGTACTTACAACCCAGTTTTGGAATTCTAACAGCTGCACACTCCTCTGTGGTCATGTGACCACATTTGGGGCATTTGGCAACAGACTCACATTTACGACTGTTTCCAGGTTCCCACAGTCACATGACCACAATTTTCAGTGGCTTCTGGCATTTACTTCCAGTTTCAGCAAAAAATGCTCATTGGATAATATACATTTATTTATCAACTAATATATTTGCTTAACAACTGCTGCAAAACAGGTTGGAAAATTGGCAAGGTCATACGGTGACCTGCTTAATGACCATCATGATTTACAGCCATAATTTGGGGCTCAATTACGGTCATAAGTCAAGGACTACCTCAATTCGTATCTAAATAAATACCTCTTAGCGGCATCAGGACTCTTTGCTACTATAACTGCATTCCTATAATCAGGAATCTAAAAAAGAGAAAAGGTTTTGATTTTAAAGCAGTTTGGTTTTGAAATTGTTTTTGTAAGTAATTATCTGTTATGATGTGACTGGGGAAAAATCATTTAAGGACTACCATACTCAGTAGCCTTTAAATAGGTTCTGAATGGACTACTATAAAATAATTACAGTTCCTTTTTATTTAACTGTGAGGGAGGATTACCCATTATACTCTGAGAATATGAGGCTAGCTTGTGTGAGAATGTGAGACCAGGCTGAAGATGCCATCATGGTAAAATGAAACAGGCATGTACACAAAGAGGACAAGAACCAGGACTCTTGTCAAAAAGATCCCTTCAGGAGGTAGGTAAGAACAAACCAAGGATCATTATTAAGGATCAGAGGAGAAATGACACCACTCGGAATTATCTGAACTGCGAGATGGGTAACAATATATTTAATAAATACATACATACATACATAAATACATACACACATAGATACCAGAAGACAGATAAGAGAGGTTGGGGGTTTAACCTACAGATTCCCCCATTCCACTGAGAGTTATCATACTTGTAAATCAATAAAGCAAGAGCTTTGTGGAGTAAAAGGATCCTGGAGCCTGCCCATTCTTTGAGTCATCCTGGAGCCAGATCTGACAGTTTCAGTCTAACTAATGCCTGGCAGCCTAGTTGAGAAGGATGTTGGTAATGGAGATGAGTGTGTCTGGGAGAGCAAATGTATGTTTAATCAGTAAAGTTTTGTTGCCATTTTGAATCATTAGGCCTCCATTTAGTCCATCAGAACTTGACATGCCTCAGTGTTTGATTGAAAGTGATTTCTGTATGTTCCTAATTATTTCCTGGCTCTTCAATGGGGCTGTGTGTCTCGTATGCTCTAAACACAACTAGAAAACAAGGGTAGTTGCAAAATCTGCACGCCTTGATTGGATGCATGTGTGAATGACCATAACCTACATCTGGGAGCGGATGTAATAATACTCAACACTCAAAAAGTTGTTTTTTCATTATTTGAACTGCTTCAGTTAGGTATGAGATAATACAGATGAGAACATCATCTTCTAATATAACAAAGTTTATGACTATTAAGAGATCAAAATCACTTTATACCTCTTCCTGTATATACTGAAGCAAGAAAGGAGATGCTCTCAAGTTATCAACAGGAAAGCTAAAAAAACCCTGTATTTCTTTTTGATGAAGGTCCATAGTGATGATGTGGCTTAAACCTAAAAACCAAACAAATATAAACCATTATATATACACAACTTCCAACAATTATAGATTGATATCTAATTATTCAAGCTGGAATAAACTAAGATGCTTGCTATTAGGATGGACTTGAATCACAAGGCAGGAAATCTCATTTTAATATTTAAAATCACATGTAATAATAATAAAAAAAGTTGGAAGGGACCTTGGAGGTCTTCTAGTCCAAACCCCTGCTCAGGCAGGAAACCCTATACCATTTTAGACAAATAGTTGTCCAGTCTCTTCTTAAAAAAATTAGTTATTGAAGATTCTATAATCATAATGTGCATTCCTGGGGTGTCTGTTATAACTTGAAAACACATTCTTCACTGTTTCAGGAAAGATTCTTACTCTAAGAAGCAAACAAAGCATATTTAATTAAAACGTTTTCAGATTAAAAGAAAGTGGTATAATGACCTTAGTACCAAGAAAGCTTCTTAACATTGGTGAAGTCATTAAGAAATGAACTAGCTCCAGTTCAATTATTTGTGGTTACAGGTAGTCCTCAGCTTACAACCATAACTGAGCCCAAAGTTTCTGTTGCTAAATGAAACATTTCTTAAGTCAGTTTAGCCTCATTTTATGACCCTTTTTTTCCAAATTGTTAAGTGAATGATTGCAGTTAAGTCAGTAACACGGTTGTTAAGTGAATCTGGTTTTTCCATTGACTTTGTTTGTCAGAAGGTTGCAAAAGGTGATCACACGACCCCAATACACTACAACCATCATAAAAATGAGTCAGTTGCCAAATGTCTAAATTTTAATCATGTGACCATGAAATGCGCAATGGTTGCAAGTGTGAAAAATGGTCATAAGTCGTTTTTTCAGTACTGTTATAACTTCAAACAGTCATTGTTGTAAGTCGAGGACTGCCTCTATTTGGAGGATATTTTTCTTATGATATATACTGATGGAATGACCACCTGTAACTTTTTGCATTATTGATAAAAAGGGACAGCTGAACTATTTGTATTTTGTGCCCCTGCCTTTCTTACACACAAATATAGGAATATCACAGCAGGGCATAAGGAAGGAAAAATTACAGAGACTTCTGTAAGTTATTTAATACAAAGATTTGCCATATACTACACACACACATACACAGATTAGGGGTAAAGCACAGAATCTTGGAATCTGTGATAGAAACTTCTAATCCTCACTTACTAGTGAATTCATTACTATGGAGTCTCTTTCAGAAATCAGTATGAGTGATTCTAAACATGTTTTCTTTTTAATAATTGTTCTGATATCTTTTTGCAGAAAGCTGCTCTTATAGTGCAGGGGTGTCAAACTGCCAGCCCGCAGACCAGATGCATCATAACGAAACCACGCCCACCCCATTGCCGGCAATGGCAAAAAAGTCGTGATATGTTGTGACATGTCATGTGATGTTGCAAGTTTGACACCCCTGTTATAGGTAGAAGGCAAAAATCTACAAAATCAGTTATTCTTGTCACCATCTTTGGGGATAGATCAAACATTGGTTAGATGAATTGCTTACATCAATGTTGCCTCTAATTAGCCCATTTACCTGCTTTAGCCAGCATGGAAGCAAGGAGTTTACAGACTATTGATCCTCTCTTCCTCATTTTGCTTTGTTTGCTATAAGGGAAATAGGGAATTACACCTGTGATGGTTTTGGCACAGGATGTTTTCAGTGCATAAGCCATAATCAACAGTTCCATTACTGCAGTGTTCACATCTCTGAAAAGATATAAAATACAAATCAGTTATCCCTGTGTTCGCCATCCTACAATATCAGCTTTTGCCAAGGCAAAATAAATTGTTAGGCTACGCTTTACACTACATCATGGTTTGCTGAATAATTCATACATAAAATTAAAGCACAGATTACAAATCACAATAGCTGGGGTCATATATGGTACCAATATGAAATAAATACCCTTAAGTTATTATTCAGTATAGGATGTGAATTCAGCTATTATCAATACAAATACCATATTGTTTTTAAAAAAATCATTTAATAACCATAACAAAGTAGTCAGCTTTTTTAGATTAACTTGACATTTTCCCAGCTATGTATACAAGAAACCTGGGGTTCTGTGGAAACCTAAAGAAATTCCTGTATAAAAATGAGTATAGTAGATAAGCAATTTAGAAAAATAGTTTGTAAATCATTAACAGATTTAACACCCCCCCCCCATGTTCTGTTGTATACATTTTGTATACAATTAATCTATACACTTAACTTGTACATTTGAACTAAGATGGTATTAGATCATTTAGTACTAACAGGCACCAAATGCTCCTGGACTTGTCCTCCCTGTTCCTGCAACTAGTTTTAATTTCTTTTAAAAGTTTCCTCTGGTTTTTTTTAAAGTGACATCTCTCAATGTCAGACTAAGCTGTCTTAGTCTACAATGATGAAGAATTTAACTAGCACGATGATTAACATTGCAGTAATCATTAGTAACAAGGATAAACTGTAGTGGGGTTAGGAGAAGAGCATTTGCATTTGTTAATCTTAGAAGAAATTTCATACAGAATCAATAAATTCAACCGGACAGTTCATTTATCCAAGAAAGTGTATTTTAACCTTCACAGTTCAAGGACAATGTACAAAACTCTCACCTGGGAATTGTCTGAATAATGAATACATCTTGTCCTCGGACTGACTCCTTTATTTCAACTCTTGTTTCTGTAGAGAAACGCAGATAATTAAACAAATTTTTGAAGACTGTCTAATGGTATCTTTAAAATACTAATAGCAGCACTGAAGTACATGGGCGGGATGGGATTAAAAAAGAATCCATTACAAACATATCCTAATCTAATGAAAATAAAACACAACCTACTGAAATGAGTGGCATTTGAATCTTAAAACAAATCTGTTATATATTAAAGTTTAGGACAAATGTTTTTACACCACAAATATTTGCTGATGTGAATAAATCCTGTTCACTTTGCCAAGCCATTTCTGCCTATCTATCCTTAATTCCAGGTATTCGTCGCCGCTTTCTAGCTGCTTTGGAAGCTGTACTATAGATTCCCCTTCTGAAAACTAACAGTGTATAGTTAATGTGTTGAACTAGAATTTGGGAAAGACAGATTCAAGTCCACTCTTAGCAATGGATGAGTTTCTGTCCAAATTCCATCCACTCCAAATGGCTATTGCAGAGAAAAGGAATGGAGGGACAGAATGCTGAGTATACCATTTTGAGCTCCTGCAGGTTCTAATGTACAATTAAATAATTGTAATAAATAAATCCTCATCTTATATAAAAGGACTTTTGAACAGAAGGTTTATCACAATCATAATTCTTCTGACAAGGCTTCCCATTATTGCAGGAGAGAAATATAATTTATCAAGCAGCTTCTCAAAGGAAACCAGCACACATTATTTAGACTACATATATGTCATTGCTTCCAGGTGCAGTGATGAAAGTTTTCATGGTTTTTTTTAATTCCTATATAGATCTCTCCTCAATTTATCAACTTTTATAAGCAACAGTTACATCATCATATAGTTGTCATGCTTCTGCAGCTGGGCACAAGACCAAGAAAAGATGCAATTGTAAACATGAGTGCTGGGTGCCCATTCCAAATCAGTTTGCCCTTCAAATTTAGAGCTCTGCACAGCCCTTCCATTTAAAAATTTTGATACAGCCAGCTCAAATCTAAAATATTGGTAGTAGATACAGGAAGACCTTGCTTAACAATTACTCTGTTTAGCAATAGTTGAAAGTTATGTCCTTGCTGAAAGAATTTTATGACTGATCCTCACATTTACAACCTTTTCAGTGTTCCTGCGGTCACATGATCGCTATTTGCATGCTACACAACTAATTTCCAATACATAGAAGCTGGCAATAAAATTGCAAGTCACATTCACTTGATGTCTCACTTAATGACTGTGGGTGATTGGCTTAACTACAGTAGAAGCGAGGTTGTAAGTTCATTGTCATCAAATGATGTTCCATTTAACAACCATGTTGCTCAATGATGGAGTTGCCTGCCCCAATTGTGGTTGTTAAGTGTATAGCAACTCAGATGTAGGAAAAATCATGTTCTAGTCCAGGACTGTAGAGACAGATTCCTATCTGCATTCAGTTATGAAATCCATTAATTCTCAGGTCTACTTATCTCATAAGATTGTTACATGGATAAAAAGAACACAACTTTGAATCCTTGGAAAAAGAGAGGATAAACACATGGTGCTTTTTTTAGAAATGCACTGTAAAGCCTATTATGGTAGTTTTTATAAGCATAAACACAGCATAAGAAGCTCACCACACAGAAATGAATCTAGTTCAACAGTTACCCAGTCATAGATATAATATAGAAATGTTCCAAAATGTTGTGGAAGCAACAAGGTAACCAAAAATCAACTAATCTCACTGGCCATCTTAAAACCAGAAAAGAATAGATCAAGAGCAGAAACTATCTTTAGGTTTCAAATACATTTATTGTTTTTTGTATGTTTTGCTTATACCTACTGTATCTATGAGTCTTTAGGCCCCTCAGATCTGGAGAGGTCCCTCAAATCTGGAGATACTCCATCTTTGATCTTGGATGGAGTAGCATTTACTTCTTTAAGGATGGCACATAATCTGGGAGGCTTCTTGGATTTGCAGTTCTTGCTTGAAGAGCAGTTGCTAGCTGTGGCCAATTCTTTCTGGCACATGGGGTTGTGGTATTTTCTAGATTGGAGCTCCCAATCACCCATGACCTAATCACCTCATCATTTGACTAGCCCATTGTGCTGAACATGGGGCTGGCCTTGAATTGCACCTGGAAAGTTCAACTGGTCGAGAATGTGGCAGTATGAGCAGTCATGGACATGCCTCTGTATACCCACGTAACACTTCTGCTTTATGAACTGCACTGATTTCTGGTTTGCTTTGGGGTGTGATTCAAGGTGCTGGTTGTTACCTATAAAGTCCTACATTGCACAAGACCTGATTACGTGTGGGACTGCCTGTCTCTCACAACATTTGCCATCCGATTCAACCCTATAGGATTGGCATACTCCAGGTTTATCTGGTTAAATAATGTCATCTATTGGGATCCTAGAAACATGCTTTTTCTACAACAGTACCTGTTCTCGGGAACTAGATTTCCCCTGAGATTTGGATGGCCCCCATTCTATTATTCAGAAGCGCCATGAAGACCTGGTTCTTCACCCAGGCTTTTAGCAAGGGAGAATGAGTTTCACCATGCTTGCCATCTTTAACTTTTAACCTTTATTGTTTTTATTGTATTATTACTATTATTCATGTACACTAGATTGGTCTGGTCAAGTAGCTTTTCTTTTTGTGAGTTTCTAAATGTAACAAAGAATGCTTGCATATGCTGTGGCATTTAAATTGTTTATCTGATTGTATCCGGCTTCTATCTCACATATTTTTTATTCTGCTGACATACCTCCATTGGTTTCTTGGTACACCACAGATTTTCCAAGTTCAGCACCAAGACGCCTAAAAGAGAAGTATTTTCAAGATTTAGATTCTGCACAATAGCTTTAATATGAAACTGTTTATTGTGCAATTATTAGAACAGTAAAGCTCACCTGTGTACAAAAATTAAACCTTAATTCTACTTTGTGAACATTAGAAATGCAAAACTGAATCAAATCAAGGCATCTCTTTTCCAGCAATTTCTTCCACCAATGGCAATCAGATTCTAATGAGAGTCCACAAACACAACCTTGCCAAATAGTATTTTTGTTTCCAAACAACTGGTATTTGGGGCTGGTATTATCTCTGATCCTTGAGATAACATAACCATTATTATTCCTAACCACTGATCTCATTTACTGCTGTGTAAAGCAATCACGTTCCTTTTGCTGCCTAGCCCAACATTAATTTTATATTTACATCAAGTTAAATTTAGTTATTTAAAATATTTAAACCACAAATCATAATAAAGCTGTGCAGAGTACAACATTAATATTTATTTCAATGGCCATCTTGCAATCTTCCTTAATGGCTTTTAAAATATGGCTTCTGGAAGTTGTTTGAACCCTGTACTGATGAATCAATCTACTGCATTGCCTTTACAGTTTTCTAAGAGTAAAAAAAGAAGAGCAACTATGTATGCAATTATGAGCTATCTGAAGAAACTGATTTTGTACCAGAGGAGTCTTATTTTAACACTATATTCATTTCTAATTATATTAAATCTGCAAGTTAAAACCTCCAAAGACCAAGCACGTATTACTTTGGAAGAAGTTCAGAAAGTATGATTTATTTATTTATTTACAATGCTCTGCACTTGCAGATATGTTACTCCTAAAAAAACCTGAACAAGTGTTAAAAATTTTCAGTTCCTTGTTTGTGCAAAATTTCAAGAGAATTCAGGCAGTACAATAAACGTAGATCTAATAAATGTTATATCTAAAATAAAATCTAAAAATGCAGACATATTATCGCTTTGATCAACATTCACTGTTCTTCAAGTTAAAAAAATAATTCCCTCTAATAGTAATTTTGCACAAAAAAACATGTATGGTACTTCCCAGTAGTTCAACAAGCCCTTCTTTGCCATAGTCTCTACAGATAGTCCTTGACTTACAACTGGTCTCTTACACTTGGTAACCAGCTCACTTTTATGGTGTGATTTATGACTTTTTTCAGTTTCTGGCATTTACTTCTTTTTGGCAAAAAATATTCATTGGGGAAAATTGATTCATTTAACAACTGCAGAATTCACTTAACAATCGCTGCAAAAAATGTCAAAAAAAAATCAGGTCTAGTCACATGGTGCTTTGAATTATGAGCACAACAATTTACAACCATAATTCCGGGATCAATTATGGTTGCAAGTCAAGGACAACCTGTACTACCTTAAATACATAGAAAACTTCAGTCTTTCAGTGACAATCACCTAATCATGTAAGGTTTTGATTTACGGTAAAGATTTGTATCAAGGACTGACTTTCAATAGAACAGAGCAAGGGAGTTACTCTGTTCTGCACAAAATTCTAACCAGAATAAAGTTTGTGTCTAAATAGTTTAGCAATGGGTTATCATAACTACTATCTTTTCCCTTACTTTCTGGTCCTAGCCTATAAATCACTTTATTGATTTACAGGAACCTTATTATTCTCTATTTATCTTGGGTAAGAGAAGTCTGTGATTGTTTGTGCACCGAAAACTTTTAGCTAGACAAAACAGCAGACAAAACATGTAAATTATTATTTCTCCAATGATTTTTGTGTGTGTTTTCCTTTTCAGAAATGTAAACATTTAATAGCAAAGTAAGAGGGAATAAATCTGGGATAATTCTTTCTGAAAATGTTAACACAAAATGTTCTTATTAGAGTAAATTATTACAGGTTGAAGAATTATTACAGGTTGAAGAATTATTACAAGTTGAAGAATATATATATGGAAAAAATGGTATATGCTAGTTCTGTTCTGCTTTTTAATTGCAACATTATATATATTTTAAGTCTGCTTTCATTTTACTTGAAATGCTTCATACAATTAAGGAACTAGAAACTAATAATCTACTATAACATCATTAATGTAGAATGCATACAGAGTAGAGAATCAGCTTGCACTACAAGTCCAATATTCAGTAAGTCTATTGGATAGAATTTAGATCTTCCTATTCTTTTTATTGGATGGGGCTTTCCTTCTTATGATGTAACAGTTTGAGATGGTTAATCACTAGTTAAATTTACAGCATTTGAGGCTAAAGTACCAGAGTATGGAAAAGCCTTAATCAGCTTTTCAGGAAACTGACTCAAGATCAGCCAGTCCTAGCAAGTTTCCACACTGGTAAATAGCAGAAACACTACTTCTTCCTCTGACAATCTTAATCAAACTTTGGCTGTCAATTTATGAAGCTAACCAACCCAAACCCACTCAATATGGTAGGACTTTGTATAAACTTATACAGGACAGCGTTGAGTTCCTTAAAATATTAAGAGGGTTAAAAACCCTTATAAAGTTCACATCATCTCAAATGAGACAATGAAGAGTTATCAGAACAAATGAGGTGGTACACCAAGAACTGATAATCTTCCTTTTTACAAGGAAGGAATTCAAAAAGTAAGCCCACTGAATGAAACTGACAATCAGGTTATAAAAGACAGCTATAGGAAATAGTCCAGAACTGCAGATATAAGGTCAGTAAAACTGAACAGAAAAGTTCAGTTTGAGTAAAGGCTGGTAAGGTATTAGATATGGAGGAAGAAAAGGGTTTTCCAGCATTATTATCTATTATATATCTACTCTATGCTTTTAACAAATTTTGATAGACAATGTAGGATGAATGAGACAAAAAGCTGAAACAATATATGAAATTGATCCCTGTATCTACTTACTTCCAATCTCAAAAAATAATACACAAGCAATATTTTAAACTTGCACATAAGAAAACAGAGCTTCAAATATATAGCATAACTGTGAATACCGTATGTAAATGCCAAGATTAAAAAAATAAAAAAGTGTATATCAAAAGTTTTTCTAATGCAATTTTATATATCAACATTGCACCAAAAAGCCTGGTCTCATTAGAAGGCAGCTCAAGTAGGCAGAAACTGAGAGTATCAACCCCCCAGATTCTCATCTATGTGATGTTAATGAAAAGTCAACAAGATTATTCCGTTAATAGCTTTCAAATTAACCATCATTTTGTTGACTAATGTTAATCAGCAAAAACTGGGGCCTGTAGAATCTTATCATTCTATACCACTATCATTTAGTGATAGGTACAACATAGGGACTCAGCTTTGACTCTGAAAGCTTTCTTGAGAGCAGAGCAAAATTTTGTGTTTCTAATCTTGTAAAACGTCAGAGATACACTAAAAAGAAATGCCATCTCTTCTAGCTCCATAGCACTTTAAAATTAATATTACTATTACCTCTTTTCAACTGCAAATATAGATTTTGGTTGGCTGTCAAAATAGCCACTGAACCATTAGGTGGGATGTGCAGGGGGCAAACAATTATCAATAGTACAACCTAAATGTAATAAATTACACAAAGTTAAACAATATAAAATACTATATTGATTAACGTACATAAGGGCTTTGTTTCTCAGCTGTATGAATGGAACCAAAACATGCATATAAATAATTTCTATGAATGCTTACTGTCTATTAAAGTCTAACCTAAAATATTTAAAATACTCGCTGTAATTTAATAATTGTTATAAGACTTTGCTTCTTTAAATGAAAATAAGATTCTTCAGTTTTGAGTAACATATATTCTCGAACTATACTGAAAAACTGTGGCACACCTACTTCTCCTCGGCAATTATTGTCACAGAATTTACACCGTCTTATAGTAATTGCCAAGGACTACAAGTCATAAAGAGAGAAGAATGCAGTGCTAAAAATGGTAATACACTCACTCAGTGATCCTCTTGGCCAGTTCTGTGCAAGCTGCTGAGGAATTTGCTGAGAAGACCCGGTAGCCACTTCTGGCTGCATTCATTGCCAAAGAATCATGCAACCCCCTTTGAACTCGAGAGTGAGAAAACACAGATTTATAAGGTAACAGCAGTTTCCTTGGCATCCTCCTTAGTTCTCCAAATACTAATGTCACCCACACTGCACTGAGATAGTGATGGTGGTTAAAAAAAACCTGATTAGGAAAGACTGCCCGTTATCCAATTGTTATGATAATTAGAAAAAGTTACATTCAAAGAAGCAGCAGACCTAAAAACAATTAGGTGAGGGAAAGCCCTTCAGCAAGACACAAAGCTACCAAGGCTGGACCTTTGCCACAAGGAGTCAGAAAGTCTTAAAAACGAGCAGTCACACTGATTATCAACAAGGTGGAATATAACAGGCAGAAAAGAGTTGCTCAGGGAGAAAAGGAGATTTTACATTTATTGCAAAAAAAAAAAAAAGGTTGAGAGGGCTGTTCTCAGTAAGATTACAGCGGAGAGGCAATGAAGGCAACAAGCTATGAGGCAATGCGATTTGGTTACATACCAAAACAGGGCAGACAGACACAGGAGGAGAGCCAATTTCTCTAGACAAAAGGGATAGTTCTGGAGAGGGGGGCGGGAGGCTCTGGCAGCCCCAAAGAAAGTTAGTTACAGGAGAGCAGAACAGGGTCTTCTCGGTAGAGCCTCTGAGGGAAGGCAGAAGGCCCCCAAACGAGGAGAAAAGGTGAAAAAGTGAAAAACTGGGAATGGAGGAGAGGCGAAAGGCAGCCACTTTCCTGGGACTGGGGGGGGGGGGAGTGGGGAAACTGAGGAGTGAACCTATGCGGTTAATTCAGAGGACCCAGAGACACGGTTCTGACTGAGGCAAAAGGAAAGGAGAACCTCTTCCCACTGGGAAAGTACAGGGAGGCAGAAGACACGGGCGGGTGGTGGTGAGGCAGGCAGAAGAGAGGGGTCGAAAGGCGGACTAAAGCCAAGACTCGTTTCGAAAGGAGAGCCGTGAGGAGAAGGCGCGGAGACACACACACACACACACACGCGCGCGCGCGCGGAAAGAGCGAGGAGAAAGTAATAGGATGAGGCAGGACGGGAGGAGTCGAGCAGAAGCTTCCGGAGAAGCAGAGGCAGCTCCCGGGCCAAAAAAAAATCACAGAAGCAGCCCTCGTGAACACGTCGCTTCGCGGCTGCCGACCTCTCCCTTGGCCCCGCTCGCTCTCAGCCTCAAACTCTGCGAGACTCAAACCCGCCAGTACGCTCAGAAGAACAGAGACGCCGCGCTAGAGCGCCCCCTCCCGCCCTCAGCGGCCATTTTGTCTCAGCGCTTCGAAATGTAGCTGCTCTCGCCTGTAAGAGGCAGACATATTGAGTGAGGGCAGAGGGGAAACGGTCCGTCGCTACCTCTCTACCGCTTTCCCTTTAGCACGCGGGCAGACTTCGGTCGACTCACCTCTTAAAAATGAAAACGCTGGGCCACTCGGCAAACGGTTTCATTCACCTTTTTAAACCGTGGAGGATTCTTTTCCATCAATAAAGATGGTTACCTGTCCTGGCGGGCCAACTAACCGTTACAGGGGAAATCTCCTTTGAGAGGAACTTAATAGTCGTTGCAACGGAAGTGGGCGGAGCTAGAATTTTGTACTTGAGGGCCGTAGAGAAAAGTGCTTGGTTATTGCAATTTTAACTTAGAGGAGAAATTCGTTGGACAAAAGTGTCTGGAAGACGATTTGTTAAAAACCTGAGCCGCGCATGTATGTATGATAGATATGTATGTATGACAGATATGTATGATAGATATGTATGTATGCTCCTGCTAGGTCTAAACAGTCTGCTCATGTTGGAAATCTTGTAAACTTGGACTACAGTTCCCATATTACCAATCAGCACGCAGAGTGGCTTAATGGCGAGGCGTTTTGGAGCTATCGTTCCAAGATATACGGAGTCCTGGCGTATATAATGTGTGATGGCGGCGCTAGCAAGGGAATGGAAGGACAGATTCGTTCAATAATGAGTGGCCTGTCCAGGTTTGTTAGATGAACTGGACTGCGCATGCGCTAACATTGCTTGTGGTTGCGGGGATGCTAAACTGCCTGGCACCCAAAAAAGACCACGTGAGCTGTCACTTAACGAGATCGTTCTGGATCAGTTTAACCATTACCGTAATTTAGAAAAACTACTAAACACTTTGAAGGTTTGGTCTTGTTATCAGCTTTCCAAAGGTGCAGTGACAAGACAGCTGCCAGATCTGGGCTGCAAAAATGTGGACGATCGTTGGTTAGCAATAAAAAGATTTTCTGAATCATTTTGCTGCCAACTTGTGGTTGTCCGCATCTTTCAGTCTTGATCTGACGGGTTAACGGGCAGTGTTTCCTCAGGTTTTCAGTCTGTTCTGATACCGGTAGTTGTAATGATTTGATACGTATTAATGAGTAGCAGAAAAAACAGGAAATTTTATTTCAGATGTGATTATTCTAAATTCCTTCATTAGGATACAGTATTCCATTTAATTTTATATTGTATACTGCTTTCCAAATAAAAATTGATGGAATTCATATTATGAATTATTCTAGATAGGTGACTTTGCCATATACTTTGTTCTATTTTAGCCATTTTAAATAAAATACATGATAAAATACATTTAACTGCATTAAAATGCAACAATGATGCTGCAAATAAAGCACAGCTTTTGCATAATACAACAGAATTGTTATGACGAAGGAAATCATTCTGATGAAGACTCTGTATATAATTCTGAACACTTTGATGGAAATGCATACAAACTGATAATTAAAAATGTAAAACATAATAACTGTAAACATCTTAAGATAGTTTTAGGAGTATTAATATGATTTGCTGTATGATAACGGTATATGCTTAAAATTGATAATACATAAGATCCAGTCATAAACAAATGGAGGGGAAGCTGATTGAAAAATAAAATGTATTTTATTTTACATGTATTTTATTTTACATTCTCCACTAATTAAGCATTGTGCAAAATGAGAACAGTTTTAGATTTTGTAGTAGAGAAAAGGAGAGAAGCCTTTTAAATAGATTTATTCTCTTATCTTCAAATAAAATATATTTAAAAGGCAAATGCTAGCATTTCAAACATCAATCTATACTTCTTTGTGGAAAATGAAGTTATAATTCCCTTCCATAGCCAGCTTACTAACTTCATATGACATGTCCTAAAATCTTCCAGCATTTGTTTTGTTGTGAAATAAACATTGAATGTTTTGCTTCAAAAACAAAGTCCAATTGCCTTGTGAAAAAGCAGCCTTGGGATAGCAGGAAACATTGTGGTTGAAAATGGCTGCTGGATCCAGACTGTTGATATCTCTCTGGAGAAAGGAGAGAGCTTGAGATAGCCCATTTATATACTGGACAGTTGGGGTAAGTACACTGCAGGAACTGACCTTTGCGATTGCTTTCAAACAGCTGAGATTTGCAGGATTCCACTAAACTCATAGTCATCAATGCAGCCTTTCAAGGTTCAACCAAACCTTACTTAATCATTTTGGAGTTTACTTTTTTTTCTGTTGCATTTTAAAGGTTAAGGACCTTCAGAGCTGCAAATGTGATCGTATTCACTGAGTTTTTCTTCAGTTTTTAAGAAAGAAGTTTTAATTATAATTTGGGCTTTTGCAAAAAAAAAAGTTTTGGGGAATATGAAACAGAAGTGCTGATTTTATAATTTTTTAAATGAATTAAGGGTCCAAATGGACTTGAATTAGAACTTTGAAATTACAGTAACTATCAGAATCCTTTCTGTGGAAAGATTTCTATGTTTACATCAAGAATTGATGGCTTTGAAAATTGGTCACTAGAGGGCATCAGAAGGAAATAAATTTATCAATAAATCCTTTAAGAGAAATTACGATTATTGGGCTCTGAAAATAATTTTAAAGTTACCTGTTATTATAGAAAAACTGGATGATGTCATTAAAGAGGAACAAGTTCCATCGGATAAAACTGAAATTTATTTGAATGTGGATTTTAAAATGACAGCATATAACAAATGGAAAAAGATGAAATAGTGGATAAATTAAAAAAATGCATTTGCAAATGAGACTTATTGATTATTTAACAATTTAAAAACCACACAAATACTAAACCTGAAGAATGATGTGACTAGATTTCTTGAGAAGAGAAAGAATACAAACACTGTGATGTGGATAACCTTTTAATACTTTAATTACAAAAAGGGCTTCTAAAGAATATGAAAAGAAATCAGACATTAAGAAATTGTTTGAGGGGGCTAAGGATTGTCAGATGAAAGAGGAAAGAATATAAAATTGGTTTATTTGATCAAGGCTAAAATAAATGGTTTGCTAGAAAAGGAGATATAAAATTAAAAGGAAGCATTTAAACTAGGCTTATTAGATATAGTTTATTAATACTGTAATTATTTCTGATAATCCTTAATGGACTTTTGCTGGTTAAGATGATATGATGAGGCTTTAACCATTGATTTATAAAGAAGGGAATAAGTTATGGGATGAAGATATGGGTTGGTTTTATTTTAAGAGATGGTGATAAGCTGTTAATGTTGATTACACTTGCTGGGGATGTAGGAAGAGCTTTTGTTCTTTTTTTTCTTTTTCTGCTCTCTGTGTGTGTGTGCGCACCTGTGTATAGTATTAGTTTAATCTGTTTAACATAATTTTAATAAAAAATTTAAAAAATTGGCTCACTATAATGTGTGAGCAATATGTACATTTTGCAATTATACTTACGCTAAAGTGTACTGCTCCAACTAATTTAATTTCTAGTTGAAATTATTTTATCTGTAAGTTTTCTACTATAAAAGCAAGTTCCCAGATTTGTGGTTGCTGACTAAGTCTAGCAATAATTTGAGGAAGATCTACATAATCTGCTCTTTGAAGGATTTTCTCTGCCAAAAGGTTGTCAACTAAATAATTAACACTGCCAGACCATTGTTCTGAATGGAATGAGACAACTCGCCATGGCCAACTCACCAAGGGACAACTTGCTGTGGGACAATTCAACAATTCAATTTAAATTAAAGAATTATTTTAATGTTTGTCATTCACATTTCATTTTGTCCCTCCTTTTGCATCCTTTCTTTAATGATTCTATTCTACCATATCTTTGATATCAGTGTAACTCTTGTCCCGCTGTGAGTTGTCCTGTGGCAAGTTGTTTTAGGCCTGTTCTAAATTCTCAATATTTTAGACTCATCCCATATACAACCCACTATGGGAAATTTAAATAGTAGCTAATTCAGCTACTCGGTATGGCTGGGTTAACTTTTATTGTTAAGGATAGTCCAGGTTCTGATGCTAATCTTGTTGCTAATTAAATAAAGCTATCTTACAGATGGTCAAAGACTAGAAGTTCTTTATACAATGGATATAATTAAAAGAAAAATAGTGGGGAAACCCAAAGAATACACAAAAATACTTGGTTTACTATGTTAAGTGATAGAATTCTATGGGATCTGATCTGTAGTGTTACACATTATTTAAAGAGCCTCTAAACAGCAAAGCTGATGGACAGCATCCCCCCCCACTCCCCCCAAAAAGGTTTCTAAGAATGAATCTGCTAGCTAGTAGGAAAGATACGTTCTCATCATCTGACCCTGTTAGGACAGTTAGATAATAAAGGGTTTATCCAATCAATGTGCCATGTCAGATAAAATGAGCAGCCAAGTCAAATGTGTAACTGACTCAGTTTCCCCAGCTGGGAAAGAACAAAGGCAACCTTGAATTGGAAATAAGCATAACTTCTAAACAGTTTTATTTATTAACTGAATTTAAACTGAGGGACAGTTGCTTTAAACCAGGGGTGTCAAACTCGCAACATCACATGACGTGTCGCGACGTATCGTGACTTTTTTTTCCCACTGCCTGCTTTAAACTAATGATTGGGCACTGGTGGAATGGATTTTCATCTTTCTTACAGTTTCTTCTTACCTTCCTGAAATTACTTTGGAGAATTAGGAGACCCTCTGAAGTATAAGTGGAAAAATACAGATGTAGCAGGGAAGTGGGAAAAGAGACCCTCTTTGGGGGAACTAGGAGCAGTGAAAACCTCAGAGGTAAGCTTTCAAACAGGATACCTGCATAAATGTTACAGTAGGCAGCGCAGTTTTCCAAGTTTGGTTTTCCATGTTGGTACCACTACTATAAGAAGCCTTTCCAATATCTGATCAACATCCCTAATGCTTCCTTGAGGAGGGCTTTTACAGTTCTTAATTTTCCAACAGTGCCTTTCATATACCTTGAAGGCAGATTTTGGAAGCTTCCAGTGGAACAGTGTCTCCACCCCTGTAATGCTACCCTATCTGGAATGAAATTGGGAAATATTGATGATAAACTGAAGGAATTAGATGCCAAATGATTGAATTAGTTTCTTGCAGAAATAATTCCAATTATTAATATTCTTCTGCTTTCTTTTAAACTTAGAAATTTTTGGCTCTCGGTTGTAGCATTGACTCCATTGCAATATACTTGCACTTTTTCTTACTGCTTTCTCCCACTACTGATTTCATTGTTTTTTATGCTGCATTAATGTAGAACGCAACGCAACAATAAACTTATTGATTCTAAGCAAGAGACATTGGCATGATCTTGGATGTCACCCTGTGCTGAGACCCAGGTATTGTTATGCAATAAAACCCTTAACAGATTGTCCTACTTTTTGATTATTTAACTGCTGGAACTAATGTTCATTTATTCCACGAATTGAAGAAAATTATTCCATGGACATGTATGTGATGCAGTATTTAATTGCCTTTCATTTGCATTTTCATAATTTGAGAAGCATAATTTGCTATGATGCTACTTCAGCAAGATTTGATCTTCTTCCTGACAGTTATTTAAATGTTATAAGGAAAAAAGTATATAGACTATGAAAATAAATTTGAGTTGTTTTAAATGTTTTTAAACTCAACAAATGCAAAGCCAAAATAAGGAAATAAAAGAGAGACATTAAACTTTCAGGCAATATTTATTTTAGAAATATTCAGAAAATCAAAGAATATAAGAAAATTTTGCATAGGGAACAAAAAAACTTTATTTGAATTAGTAGGGAGGACATTCACTTTCTCACAGAAATCCTATATTGTGAGTGAATATGTATAAGCATCTTGTGCTTCATTTAACTTACAGAGGAATGTACTCTGAGTAACAACTTGACCTTTTTACAACAATGTTAAGTCAATGCATACATCTGACCTGATGAAAGCACAGAACAAAATAATTAAGTTGTATTTTAGGAAAGTAAGATACTCTATGGATTAATGATAAGCTGAATATTTGAACGTTGTGTTTGCTCTTACACAATTCTAGTTCTTGGAACAAAGAGCCCAAGACAGAAAGTTCTTCAGTAAGTTGTAGGATTATTGCTAGGAGAACAATAATTACCACTGATTACAAGTGAATGTTGGAACAGAATAATCAACCTGACCTAAATTGATTGATTGCAAATCAAAAATACGGTAAAAAGGAATATTGTAATTCATAATAGATACCACAACAATAAATATCGATAGTACTAACTGAGAAAACAGGAGCCTTGTGAATTCTAGGCTTCCCTTAGGTATGAAAGGCTTTGGGCCAGTCACTCTCAATGGGAAAAATAGCAGGAATATTAGGTATATTTACCATTTTGAGTTATAGTATACATAAAAAGTGGGATAAAAATGTAATAACAACAGCAGTAATAATTATAATTTTAACAATAGAGAAAATACTTTTACACAAAATTAAAAGGTTGTAACATGCTAACATATTACCTGATTCAGCCCAGACAGGCCACCTGTCTGATTATTTATCAATTTAAACATTTAGGCCAGCTATTATTCCAATAGTATTGCAGCACGTAATAAGATAATGCAATAGAGCCAAATAAAATAAGCAATACATTATTTTAAATTATACTCTTTAAAATACACAAATAAATTACCCTGACAGAGGGCCACTTAAAAGACAAAAGGCATTTCTTTTTAAGTCTCAGGCAGAAGAAGGAAAACTCACCTGGTACCGAAAGGCAGGCAATATTGGCAGTAGCCAGGCCTCTAGGGAAAGGGTGTTGTACAGCTGGGCTCATCCCCCACTCTCCCAATAATGTGCTTCTCCCAGCCTTAGGAGATGAGGAGAGCCCCTCTCTCCTGCTACAGAGTGTAATATACTCATCCAATATACTAAAACTCATCCAGGGGGTAACGTTACAGGCACCTGATACAATTCTTCTAGGGCTAGTATTACGTGGTCTGTTAAAATTGTTCCATCTTCAAAGGCAGACCCTCGTAGAGTACATTGCAATAACCCCAAGATCATGTACTAAAGTGATCAGGCCATCCCTGGGAGTTGCAACTGTGTAATGAGATATAGGTGGCTGAATGCATCCGATGACACCCAGGCCCTGAGTGATACAGATGAATTCAGGACCTGAACTATGTATCTGCTTCTGCAAGAGAAATATAGCTCCAGGTACATTCCCAGACTTGCAAGCTGCCAATTCACAGTATCTCTATTTTGCTGATAGTTAACTTCAGTTTATTACTGAATAAACGGAACATTTGCGCTGTCTTACCTGAGTCTAATGAAATGGAAAATTAGTTCCAGTTACTTTAGATTATATATTTAGAGAATTTAGTTTGGATTTTCAGTGCAGAATTCCAGAACCTCTGTAATTGCATTGTGTCATGGGTTTTATTTAAAACAGCCACCACTATTTATCTTTTTTCCCATAATCTCTGGGGGAAGGGTGATGTACATAGTGCACCCATTCACTTGTGACATGACCATCTCATGACTCTAAACTTGTTGATATGTTTGTAGAAAAAAATCAGCAAACAAATAGAATAAGTTTGCTCTGATTTGCCAATTGCCTTTGTTCTTATGCAGCCAGTTCTCTTGTTTGTGGCTTTAGGACAACAAGCATTGATAACCCTTGTGTCTAGCATGAATTTTTTGCTCTCAGTTTGTAAGCTCACAGCAGTTGCGTTCATCTCCAGATCTTTTGGCATTGTTGCTTGTTTTGAACAGAGAAGTTTCTGTGCCTATGTGCTACAATAGTGGCACATGCCCTCATTAAAATATCTAGAAATTCATGTTCTTTTCCTGTAGAACAGAACTTTTTTTTCCGGCCACTGTGGAGGGTTTTGTTTCTGCAAAATGCTGATATTAATTAAAGTTGTCATGGTTTCAGTTGAAGAAAGAGCACATCATTGAGGAGAAGAACCATGTTTATTGCGAAGATTCTTGGGTTCCTAATTTAGGAATAGCACTTGGACGTATGTACCACTTCACAGTGCTTTCTGTCCTAAGCAGTTTACAGAGTCAGCCTATTGCCCCCAACAATCTGGGTCCTCATTTTACCAACCTCAGAAGGGTGGAAGGCTGAGTCAACCCGGGGCTCAGTAAGGATCGAACTCCTGGCAGTCAGCAGTGAGTTAGCCTGCAATACTGCATTCTAACCACTGCGCCACCATGGCTTTCTTGTTTATTTGCAACAAGCCCACTTAAACTACTAGTTAAGAGGAACTTATTCAGACTTTGCATGACATATTGAAGGAAACTGAATTTCCTCAAAACCAACCATGAAAGTCTCCAAATCAATTTAAGTCAATTTGCATTCTGATATCTAGGGTTTTTTTTTTAAAAAGGACATTCCTCTTCATCCTTTTTCCCATAATCTTTGGTGGTGGGGGGAATCCTTCATGCCTATATATCGCTTGACTTAAGAGATTCATGAGTACCGTATTTCATTCATGGTGCATCCATTTATCTATGACATGACCATTTCAGGACTCTGAACATGTTTGATCTATTCAACAAAAGCCAATAGTACAAGATTACTCAGATTTGCTGACTTCTTTGTTCTTGTGCAGTTGAGTTTCTTGTGTTGTTTGTAACTTTGTTCGCTGCATTCAAAGAGCATCTGAAATGGGAGATTTCAAAGAAGTACCAAAGAAAACAAGAAGGTTCATACAAGTTAATCAGATCATACAGCTTCACAAAATGAAAATGGCACAATATTTCCATTTTCAGTGTATATCTTCCTTTTTAAAATGTGCTGATATAGATAACTGGTAACATGCCAATTGGCACTGGTAATATGTCGGCATCCATATTGATTAAACCTCTGGGAATCCTGATGGAGCTACAAAGTCAAACCAGTGTTTCTTTTTGATGGAAAAAAGTAACTTAAAATAACAGCAAATTGTATATGAGATCATGCAAGGATAATATTCAGAAGTTCTCCAGGAACAGAGAAAATCAATGTCCATAAGTTTCAGGTACTATATTATGTACCATTCTTCGTTAGCTGGATTCACAAAACTTATTAAATCATTTTTTTAAAAAAACACCTATATTTTAGCTCAGCCAAAATAAGACACACATTAAAATTGGGTAATTATTTCACTCACACCCTTCACTTATTTGTCTTCCTTTGTTTCCCAAACCGAATTCATAGACTAATCATATTACTCCTTTGGTATAATTGCAAAAGTAGTGTCTTTCTTTTCCTCTCCTCAGCAACATTCTGATTCATGAATTCTGACCCATTGCCCCATTCTTTTTTCTGCTATTTTTTTTTTTTGCTAGCGTTATAGAGCTGACTAAAAGCTCCAACAAGCAACTCTGCTGTTAATCACTTTGTTGCTTAAGCCTTAGAAGTCTTCACAAAATACTTGGAGATCTGTATAACTCCATGCTGTCTTCAAATACCTTCTTAAAACCTAACTTTTAATATAATTTTAATACTGTATGATAGTTCCCACATCAAGAACTAGATCTAGGTCTACTTAAGAATAAGTCTATGTTTAGAGAAAATAAACATATGTCATTTATGGAAAGCTTTCAGTAGAGCAAGGATATTTGTTAGTTCATATTCTTCCTACAGCTGAGGGAAAATCTGCTTAGGACGATTAAGAGACAGGAGGAGGAAGAAATGAAGCACACGCGGCCTTGTGTGATACACTGCATAAAATAATTTCAGGATTGTTCTGAATTTTTATTTCATGTGAAACCTAAAAGAACCAAAATGCTTTAGGCAGAGGTGTCCACAGGGTGGGGAGATTAAATAATAAATAAAAGTCAGGTTGGCATTCACAACTGCATGATTAAACCCCAGCCCTTTTTCAGTGTCAGTGAGAAGTCCAGTGTGCATTAAAAAGATGTGGGGTTTCCACGATGCAGATGCAGCTGCAGCCCCCATATTGACTTTTTGACAAACACAGAGAAACCTCTGCTTCCAGGTTTTCCTTTCTTTTTAACTGGCTGATTCCAAATGATTCTTGGGGTTTGAAGCAAAACATGCTTCCCATTTCATATATAAACCTAGTTACTAGAATTAAAGAAACAGCTGGCACTACAGGCAAGAGGATGAAGAATAAGGAATTACTATATTACTGTATAAAAATATGATTCAATGTGCATAATTACACAGGAGGAAAGTGCAGAACAGATACAATGCTTTGCTGCCTTAGAAAATAAATAGAGTAGCATTCAGGCAGAGTATCTTGTACTATGTTTTGTATCTCAAACAATGGGGGGAAAAAGTCCTCCTTTTCACACATTCAGAACTTGACTTACCAGCAGCTAAATCTTCCTTCAGCACTGACAAATAGTCGAATTTTGGTTCATCCACACCTGCCTGCCTGCGGCTATTTTTCCCTTCCTCTGCCTGAAGGAAGAGCCTACATTAGAATAATATGAAAAGGAAAGTAGCTGCGCAGCAAAGTACTATAGTTTTTGTAAATTCTCAGTCACGCCTGTGAGAGATTGCAGGATCTCCTTGTTCACCTGAAAGGCATATCATGTAGATCTAGCAAATCGAGAGCTGTACAGGCAAAATGACCAAGATTGGCCACATCAATAACTTCTGAAAAAGATGCATCTTTGGGGTAATTAACATAACAGCATAAAATTATGAAAACTGTACGTCAGAAAAATCTAAACTCCGTATTAGGGCAACGTTGATTTAAGAGCAAATTGAAATATCACCAAATAGTTTACAAAATGCTGATGTTGAGGTAACCTGATGGGGTAACCCCTTTATCTGTGATTTATAACAGGTCGAATAGAATGCAGAAAGTTGTGTGTAGATTTATTAATTTAGTTCTTACTATATGGAAAAGAGATTTCAATGTACCCCAAAGACTGTTAGGATAAAAACCCGAAAGGCGGTTCCTCAGTTTTATTGTAACTCTAAAAAAATCCTGTCTCCAGTACTAAATTGAACACACAAATCTCTTCTGAGGCAGAGAGGAGTATATCCCAAGAGAATATCACCAGAGTAGATAATTCCATGGATTTATGGACAGGGTCAGGGGACAGGGAGGAGTGTACAAATAGCATCTTGGTGGTAGTAGTAACCTATCATGACTGTCTTACATAGTTAGCTTTTAAGCAGAAAGGAGAGAGTGGGAAGTAAGAGGCAGCTAACAGATTTTAGAAATAGTACAAAAGGAAATTTTCTTTTAGAAATGCTTAGGGAAAGCTATTGTTGCTTGAAGGAGGTGGTAATTCTTAACCCCAGAGCATTACTCACTGCAGAATAATGTATAAATCACTGTGCTCTTTGAAGAACATTGTGGTTACTGAAAATTGCCATCATTAAGTTTATGGCAGGGACTCTGAGTGTTCAGTATTTCTTTAATTTGTGTATTGTTTTGTCACACAGTTCAAGTTATCAATTAGCCAAGGATAACAAACAGATTTTTCCGGTATTCTTACCAGTTTCGTTTCAGATCTTCATGATCTAGGAATGCTTAACCAGAGCAAATTAGAAAAAAAGTAAAGAATATATTTTATTTATAGTAACATTCATTTGAATTAAGAGTATTTACATTTTTAAATTTCATGTTTTAAAATATCAAGAATTTTATATCTATTGTAGGTAGGAAACAATTTTAAAATATTTTAGTTTATTGCTTCATTTTCTAAAGTCATCCGTTCACCATTTGGTGATTTGGTGTATCTTCAAGAGGATTACAAATACAAATACAGGAAGAAAACCACCAACCACTCCCCAATAGTTGATGAAAGAGTTGTAATTTCAACTTAAATATTTGGTTGCTTCACTTTTGCTTTAATCTTAATCACCTCAAACATTCTACATTTATTTTTTGATCCTAGCCTGATAAATTTCTATCCTTCAGAGTAAAAACTTACAGCAAACTCTAATGAGCTAAAACTATATATCTAAACTGGGCACCAGGTATTATAGTCAGAGTGTTTCTGATCAACAGTGTACCTGCTTCCTTCCTTTAGGACAGAGGTACAGTAAGCATTCTTTCCTTTACAGAACCTCTTTTTCAGTCTCTGAAAGAGCCTCTTACAGAGCCTCTTTTTCAATGTCTGAAGTTTATAACAACTGCTCCTCATCCAGAAGTCAGAAACACCACGAAAAAGGAAGCCCTAGAAATTATTCTGAAGCTCCAGAGAATAAAAGCACTTCCTGACAGGTTCAAGTCTTTATGTTGTTATTCCTTCATTTCTCCATCCCTTCTTCCTGGATTGCTTTTGTCTTCTGGGAGATTCCTTGGTACCACTGTAGTTCGAAAAGCTTCCTATGTCCAATTCATGAATTCCTTGTCTTTTTTGAGAAGCTGGAAGATGGAGGTTTTGTCTGTAGCACCTTCATCTTGTCTTCCATGCTCAGCTGGCATTTGTTGCCTTAAAGGAGTAGAACAACCTGGTACTTTTGCAGTTATCAAAGTAATTTCCTCCATCTCCAGGTTCTCTGACAAACAACATGTGTGACCAAGCCATTTGTAAAATAATGTCTTTCTACAATCCATCATTATGTGGACTGTATGAAACTGGGCATCACTGGCAGTGGGAACCGAAATCACTTGGAAAAGCTATATGCATCTAAATCGGGAGTTCATCTACTCTACCACAACCTAATGTGGTGTGTTTGGTTTGGGCTTTAATGTACTATATGTTGTATGAACTCAGCCATTACATATTAACCATGATTAATGTCTTGTTCCCCAAAAGCAGTACCTTAGCATGATATGTGATTTATGTCTGTACATTTTCTTTTTCAGATTGCATGATCAGAGGGCCAAAGGCAGAGCTGATCATTACAGTAATCTTAGCTACTGTCCTTTATGTTCTGATATCTGCATGAGGATGCTATGTGTTGAGTGATGTATATATCCCATATGTTAATAAAAAGTAACATCTTCAAGTCAAACTTGATTCATCATGACTTCATTGACAGTTTTCTTGGCAATAATATGGAATAGAAGGGGCTTCCCATTGGCTCCTTGATAATGATTTTTTATGTCTCAGGACTTGTAGCCTTGATATTTCTTGATGGATTCCCATTTAGGTATTAAAACAGGATCATCAGATTGGCTAGATCTTTCCATCTGGGTAGGTATAAATTTAACACCCTATTTTTTAAAAATTGATGTAGAGATGCCTTTCTTTAGTCCTTAGAAATAAAGCTACAACTGTTCGCTCACTTTCATATGAAGATTTATACTGATTTTGTAACCTAACAGTATAAATAAAATTTAGGGATATTGTAGCAACGTTTTACAATTAATCTTGCATTATTTAAATCTCATTTTTAATTTAAACAGAGTTATTCTATCATCATTGCAGTTCTCCAATTGTCAAATTTAAATAAATTTACTCTCCTTACTCTCCCAGCCCCCTCCAAAAAAACATGTATTTTAATGTGCATTTTAATTACAGTAATACAATATGATAGCTTTCAACTTGGTCATGTGGAGATATTCCTTGCTGATTTTTTAAAATAATTGAATAATTACTTCTTTGCCATCTTTGAAACATATGTTCAGCTATGATTGTTCAGCTTGTTTAAAGTTTAGTACTAAGTATTTTCAACAAGATCATGTTAGCTGTTTATAGTAACAATAGTTTTGCTGCTCCTCCAAGAGCAACAAAATAATAAAAGATATGTTACCCCAAGTATATAACAAGGATTGGGAAACATATAGCAAAATCATATGAGGATTAAATGTTGAAAGTATATATAATTATTTTTAATCACACTACATGGTTCCTAAATGGTAATTTTGATACCTTTGCAATTGGATTATTAGATGCATATATGTAGCATGATAAAAGAAAAAGCTATCCTTGTGTAAGTCACAGGAGGTACAAGTGAACCCAACTTGAAGTCAGTGCTCAGAAGCAACATATCCTGGGAAGCTGAAAGATTTCCTGTTCTAGATTTTAGAATTAAACTCTCTGGTCAGATTGTTGTCTTTGGGTCTCTTACAGCATTCAGGTACTTATTTCACATGCACATACCAACTCCAAGCTGGTACAAAATGTACTGATTTTCCTCACTGCTGTTCTTCTTGCCAGATTTTGAAACTGCTCATAACCAATAGGAGAGTTCAAAAATCAGCAGGTAGCTTATGTCCTACCCCTGCTCCTGTCATAACTTTGGGTTCACCCAGTTGTTTCTTAAATAATTGCATTCTCTAATTGCTCACTTTTGGCTTGCTCTAAGATGCTAAGTTTCCCAATTCAAACTGTGGTTGAGTCTGTCCATGTGTGGTGAGATTAAGATGTTTTCATCATGTCTTCTGACAGCTAGTTGCTATTTGGTGATGCACTCTACTAAGTTAGGTGAGGTAGGCAGACAGAAAGAAAGAAGACCAATCCAAATCCAAAAATCCTAGAGAATTCCTGGAAGCTTCACATTCAGACAAATCAAGAGACACATTGAGATAAATAACATTTATATCCGTTCAAAAGAGACAATAAAGAAAAATTAGAAAGGAAACAAAAAAGACAACAATATATTTCCTTCGGCAATGTAAATTCAGATGAGCAGGCAAATAATCAGGCAGAAAAATAATCCTCTAATCAAGAAACTACTAGAAGGAAACCACAACCCCACCAAAGCTACTGCAAATAAACATACCACAAACTTCACACTCACTCACACTGGTGACATTAGCTAGGTGGGTAATGAAATGTCTGCAAACATACACCAAGCTCAGAGAGCACCAAGAACTCCACAGTTCAATCCTGGGCTACAGATATGTATTATTTTTTATTGAAAATGAAATGAACCATGAAAATGAAATCTTAAAACATCAAATGAATATGAAAGGTAAACAATTCCAGCTTTCCTAAGGTTGAAACCCTCATTACAGAGGAAGAAATCAATATACAGCAATTAGTAATCAACCCAGATACCCTCACAAACTGAACAAATAAAATAAAAAACAAGGCCCTCTCCCACAGCAAAAATAAATAAATAAATCGAGTCTCTTCAAGTTTTTTTTTGAAGAGCCATTATCAAGCTGATCCATGAGATGCTCAAAAATGGAAAGGCCTAGGGCAGGGGTAGGCAACCTTGGCTCTTTTATGACTTGTGGACTTCAACTCCCAGAAATCCTGAGCCAGCATAGCTGGCTCAGGAATTCTGGGAGTTGAAGTTCACGAGTCATAAAAGAGCCAAGGTTGCCTACTCCTGCCCTAGGGAAATAGAACCATCTGTCTGTAATATCAATGTGACACCCTCTCAAGTCTAACTAATCCCCATATTTACAGTATAACACTGGCATGAAAGCTTTGTAAACACTTGAGAAATTGGTATGGTAATCCCATACAAGTCCTATAGACCAGGACTTTCAGCAGCTACAATCCCATCTTTTCTGACATTTCAAAGCAATCAGTACTTTTAACCATTCAGAGTATTCTCACGAGTGATGCTAATACATTGGTTCATTAATTTGTTTGAAGGCTCACTTGTGAGAATATTTCGTCTGGGATAAGCATGAGAAGATAGCCAGTTCTGAGATGAATGCATGCATGGACTTGGTAACAGAACTTAAAACTTGGGTAATTTTCAAGGATAGAATGGAGGCATCAGTGACTCAATTTAGATATGTATTTTCTGGCCTTAATTTCTTTGGAGTAATGTATCTTATAGTTTGTTCAATCTTTTATGAGTTAAAAATTCTTAATAATTCCAAAATGATTTTTTTTCTGCACTTTGCATAATGTGTTTTGCATGCTTACTCCAAAAGTGAATAGCATGATGAATGTGTATTGGTTAAATACCAGCAGATGTAAGAATCATAAAAAAATGATTTAATCAGCCATTGTGAAAGTAACCTCAATCTTCAGTTGAGGAATGCCGTAAAGCCTTAGTTTTTTTTTCTATATATCCAGTTCACAATGCAGTTACATAATTAGCCATCCCTGAGAATCCTCCTCTGACTAGATAACAACACTTGTGAATTACAAACAAGAACAGAGGTATGTCATCACGGGCAGGAAGATGTACAAGGACTTAATTATAGTAAATGGCTAGAAGATGATTAAATGACTGAAAAATTAAGAGAGAAGAAGGTATTTTTATAATATTTTTATTGAAAACTGCAATTCTAAAAAATACAAATTAATACAAAGTACAAAAATATAAGAATAAAGACCATTTGTGTGCTGGGGAAGTGCTGCAGTGCGGGCCTGGGCCCATGCTAGGCCTGCCCAAGGTACCTTGTGTTTCACTTAACCTGTGTGGTTGCTTAATGCTCTTAACAGGGAGAGCAGGGTTTGGAATGGTTACGCAAGGCAATAATATAGACCCTTAGCCCATTTTTAATTTATCAAAATCTAACTCTAAACACCCTTTTGCAGGTCATTTCAAAATATATTTTTCAAAGTCTTTAAGACTGTATTTAAAACTTTTTTCTCTAAGGAGAAGGAGACTCACCCAGTAAATGAAATAAAATCTTGCCATTCTGAAAGGTCTTAATATTTCCAAACCAATAAAAATAATTGCAAAGATGATTAAGAAATGAAGCTTGGTCAAACATTTGGTCCAAAAAAGGCTGTGTAACAATTGTGAGCTTGGTATCCTTCGAATCCTAGCTGCTCGACTCATAAGCTGAAACTCAATTCTTGTGGTCTACTCATGAGGAGTGGTTGACCTGCTGCTACTTGGGAAGACAAGAGCACGTAGTTTGACATTTTGGGCGGAGAAAAAATGATCAAAGAAGCTTTCCATATAAAGAACTGAGCCCCTTCTAGTTTCAGACATGCATGCTGCATTGGACTGCATTAGAAGCATGCATAGTTGTCAATTCTTTTGTTAGTTTTAAAATTCAAACCACTGAGGGCTGGAAATGCACAGTCTGTGGCCCCACCTTGGATACAGCATCTCCAAAAGTAATCATAGAACTGATAATTTCAATAAAATATTTGAAGATTAATATATCTACATACTAAACTAAAACTTTTTTGTCTGTTAGTTTTACCTGTGGTCAACTCCTGATGTTTGACTGTGCTATACAGTTAAGTATGGGCTACTTTCAAGGCAGATACATCTCTGAATAGCTCCCTGAATTTTTTAAAATGTTTCTAGTACATTAGAAGGTCTGCCATTGTTAAAGACACTGAGGAATCTGATAAGAAATCTGGAACTGTATCTGATATCTGGTAATTTCATCTTATAAGACAAAATGTCATAAAAAAATTTCTTGGTCAACTGCTGATGTTTATACTTCTTGGTATAGGGAGATATATCTTTGAATATCTCCCTGAATTTTTAAGGACTTTTCCAGTGATTGGTAATGAAT